GAACCTAAACATTCAGTGCGTAACATGCATTTTTCGAGCTGCTGTAGTGTCTTACAAAAGAAAACGAACCCAATGTGAAGGATCAACTATGATTGACCGCTGATAGTTACTGTCGTTGTCTAGAATGTTTACATATTCCGATGCGTCGTCTCAGTCAGTGGGGTTTGGGGATACCAACGACAACCGTCTTTATATCGTCACATCCCTAAGGCCGACTGTGTGTTTACAGCGAATATATTAATATCTAAGTGTATAATTTTTATGACGACTCGATGCTTTTCGTGCTTTTAGCTTTACTCTATTGCTACAATGCCGATGTGGACAAGTTCTCGGGATGATTGATCAATTCGACAACTTGATCGTGATTTACTGCTCCACATGCGGATGATGGTACCATTGTGACATATGTACAACAATCACTAATATATCATATATAATCATCACTAATATACAAAATATATGTTGCAATTGTTCAGTGTATTAAGTTCGTTCGAGTACGGTGAGATTTCTTTCTGGAAGCCTTTCATACGACGGCGATGAAACGTGTCGTAGAACGAATGTCTAAAAAAAAAAAAAAAAAAAAGGCTTACAATATTATTGTTTGCGTCGTATTTTGACCATCGTTCAAATATCAGCGAAGGAACGAGCTAACGGCTTCCGCTGTGGCTGATGATTTCGCATTTGCCGTCACTGCGTATCGATTCTTCTCATTTATTTACCCAGGCGTTCCACAACCTAGAAGCAAGCGGCAGTTTTCGTCCGGAGGCCTTACCATATCCGACCATCCAGATCATCCTAGGGCTGGCTATGCGATAAGAACTAGATATGGGAGTATCTTGAGATTTAACTTGAACATTAAAAAACTAGGGAAATAAGTATAGTCTTTCGTCACTTTATCTTTTGAATATACACGGGTTTGCTGGAACGGTCAATTTTTATTGACATACGTACATACTGACCGTAACCATCCCAGACTTATCTTGCATTGATCGTAGACCCAATAAACGTGGTACCAGCGTTGGTGGTCCAATACGTTTTATAGCCTGACACATTTCGTCTCACACCAGATGTTGAATATTTTTCATTATTTTTCAAGCTTCCTGAATAAAAGCCGAATTCCCTTAGATCTCGTAGTAACGAATGTTCTTACGCGTTTTTATCGTTTTTAATGGAGACTACTAATGCGGCCGTCAATAAGTATTTTTACCGGTAGGAAGACGTTTTGTATCATTATTTTATAGAGCTATAAGCAATCGGTTTACAATATTACACAAACAGCCTGACCAAAATACCATGTGAATTGAATTGTTTCGAATCAGCGAACTCCAATCAGTTACCCGTAACGAGAACTTACCCCGTGAATGGGCACCTCCAACACACTGAATCCAGATCCCCCGAAAGACGATTATCTTACAAGTTTATTATCTTATAAGATTAACTCGCAAGTTTAGCTAACTAGCTTCGGTGCAGTGGGACGCTGATACCCTAAACAGAATCAATACATAGCTTCGTGCCATAAGTTGCGCGAACGTTTCTGTGATGATACAGATATATTCAGTAATTTTGATTGAGGATTGATTGCAACACGTTTATGAAAATTGTTCAAGTTCGACATAAAGTTTCTCCTGATCAGTTAATGTTTTAAGTACTTACCATATGACGAATCAGTGGACATTGTTTTTAATAAAATACTCTTTATTTTTTCCTTTATTTTTATTTCTCGTCATTGTATAACTTTCGTCTGTCGTAATTGTATTTACACGGCTTCATAATCAACCTTCGTCTAAGTACATTTGTCAATCGGAATTAATTAAAACATAGAAGTCTCATTACTATTCATCATCTGTACGTAACATACAAATAATATTTCAGGCCAATGAATTAGTCCTTTTTTTTTTTAATGAACAAATAGGTACCGACTGTTTTCCAGTCGGTATCAAATACCTATTCACACTAACGTTACTCTAGAGTAAGGCCGTCGTTAGCTTTTCGTCGTATTGTGATCAATATATGGATACGTGAATGTTTAATCCACGCTTGCGTACGGTTGAGACCCATTTTACAAGATCCGTAAGATTGTTTAAGGATTAATTAGTCATGAATAATTATTGAAGACGCCCCATGCATGCCCGGTTAGATAGATGTCTGTCGATTTTTTTACCAGTATATTGATCGCCGATGAAGCTTACTATGTCTAGTGCTAGCTTTCATAGCAATTTGGCGAGAGAAAGCTGTCACTCAGAGGACCCATAGCCCATTTCCCTAAAAGCATGATATTAATAGATGAAAAGAAAAAAAGTCTTATACGAGGCTTCTGTTAGAAGAAGGCGGTTGTTGAAATTCGTTGTAACCCATAATTAACAATGACCACATCTTTTTTTTTTTCTAAATAAATATCGACCCGTGCGACAAAAATTATGCATTGGCATTTCTCTACGCTGGCCTCGAATGCTGTCAATGAAATCGGAGGTTTTCGAGGCTGACCCTTATCTGAATATAGTCCCGTCTGCATCTGTCATACGCTTGGCATGTCTGCTACGTTCAAAACCTCGGTATTAGCGCTAGTTCATTTACCTGAAGATAACTTGCCTTCTACTAAACTACTTTATAGATGCTTTATAACAGCTCGAAGATCCTAATTAACGTAAGGCGTCGTGGGTAGGCGTGACCGCAAACGACAAATAAATGCATCGATTTTCTAATAACGCAAACAATTTTTGTGCGGTGAGGTAGACCGCCGATGGCAGTAGCTAGTCGTAGCGAGCAATGCCAACCCGTCCCACCGACCCCGCAAAGATGGCCACTTTATTCCGTCCGTTTCTGGTGCCTTCCAAATCTCATAAGTCAAGGCCGAACGTTGGAGAACACTTATTTCGTTGTTAACACACCCTTGTATCCGCTCAATATAAAACACATTTTTTTACCTTTACAAGTTTTCGTCTAGGTTAGACACTGACAGCAGGCTCTAATCGACCCGTCCGTTTCTGACTGTACCAATCCGAATCAGCCAAACCTAAATTTGTACCTACATACCACTGGCTGGCCTGGTCAAGCAGGACACGTTCGGACCGAATAGGTGTCTTGCCCTTCGATGATGTCCTATCAGGAAAATTTATCGATAATCGGACTTTTGACGAACGAAAGATCTCGGTTACTGAGAGACTGTGAACTATTTCAACATCAAGTCGAAACAAAACCGCGGCGGCCGCCAGTTTAGAAACGCAGTAAAACAGTACGGATAATAACTGGGTTTCCTATTTTGGAAATTTAAGCAAAAACTACAATCTATCGTATGGCATAATGCAGGTTTCCGACCGTCCAAGCCATCTTGAAAAGTAAATAAATTACACGGCGAATGTAGTTAATGTTAAATTCACATCTCTCTGATGATTATTTAATGATGATAAATATCTCGAGAACGACGTCTATCTGATCGATGGCTTCGCGCCTCTGGCGAAATTTTACCTCATTGAAGTACATCTAAACGCGTTAAAAATGTGTACGCTAATTGTGTTCAGCCTTTCTTGGATATATTTTAGTTTAAATTGACGCGGCAGTATACGTGGGGTATTGCAGTCGAGGGCAAATGTTTGCGTCCATGGCTGTTCGACCGTTACGCTGTCGTCCATAACAACACAAATCGCATAATTATAAATAAACGGAGCAGTACAATTATACTGATTAGCTTGCTTTTTTCCCCGTTATATCTTATGCACAATTTTACTTAATAATACTACAATCAATAAACCATTTTTTTACTCCAAGATTTTGTTGTCAGCCTATTACTTCAGCTAATAATAATAATCGCCAAAATACAACTGTGGCTGGATTGCCGTGGCAAAAAAAAAACACTGCAATATTAAGCTTTCTGTACAGTGCAGGATCGTATTTGTTGCTATAGTATACCTTTGTCACTGCGATAGATCGTAAAAGACATTTGAAAACTATAGGCGTAGCATTGGGCCATAAGGTTTCTTAAAACGCTGACGATGATTGTTTCAAATCGATATACTGGCCGGATATATATATATATATATATATATATATATATATATCCGAACGTTTTCCCTAATTTCGACCTAAGTCACAACCAGTGAATATGTTAGTAACCTTCCCTATAAACACATCTGTAGACGCTCACCTCCGGTCGACGTTATTACATTTTTATGGTGTGTTTTACGCAAAATTATATCAATGATCTCTGTGTGTCCTCCTACCCAGCTAGACTTCTCTGAACAGCAAAGCACTTGCATAGATTTCAATACGAAATGGCCATAATGTTTTTCTTGTCAAATCAGCTACATTGCGACCGATGATCATTTGCCGTCGTACCGTACGTATGACTAAGTCCATTTCGAATAAACATCTGTTGTCTTAATTGTCCATATTGTTTTATGACAGCGGCATACGCTATCGACAAGATGGCTGAGCCGAGATGAATCCGCTGCTGGTTAGATACGCAGTGATTGAAGCTAGAGGTTATGACTGTAAAGCTTTGGGAACTGACGCCGGTCCTAGGGCCACTCCTAGGGTCCTAGGGTCCTAGGCCACTTTCTCTGCACGACGTAGGACACTAGATCATTGAGAGTTATTAACTGCTTCGGACACTAGAAGTTTATTGACGGTACGTGAACTCGGTCTCGTAATAGTATTCGGGCCGACTATTTAGAATGGATATTATACCAATATACTCGTAATTGATTGTTGGCAATACCAAACAAATTCCTATTTCACTTTTACTATATGGTAAACTAGCATACGCCGAAAATCGTAGCGAGTTAGGGTTTTCGTATTTAGATTGTCTAGACATTAAAGATCTATTCGTTATCTTTGATCTAGCTTCTTGGGTGCTCGTGCACGACTGACTTTGCCTGCACAGATTTCCTCCTATATAGTAATATGGTTTCGGATACTTGTGTATTCAAAAAGGTTCTATAAGTAAAATCAGTGTTTGATCTCTGTAGAGTTTCGTATTTTGGAGACCCTTCCAAAAGACATTATTTATTACCATTTTTGTGACTAGTCGAGCCGTTCCCGTTTGTGGCTTCCGGCAGCAACCGCTCCTGTTCCTTGTCCGCGCACGGAGTATTTCGAATCGTCCCATAATGTTTTCGAAAATCATAGAGCACAAATGCTTTCGTTGAAACCACCACGTATGGACAACAACGGCGGCAGTACTCCAGCTAGTTTAGCAGTATTTCACTATTTTGGTTACCGCTCGCAACTATCGCGATGCTTCCAACAGAGGCAGCAGTAATATCGGTATACTTCTCCTTTCGCACTGAAAGCCTCTTTTGGACGTTACCATTCTCGAACCGCTGGCACCCGACCGAACCTTTTCAACGATACCCTTGAGAATCACACCCTTTTATGTTCTACCCAGTTCTAAACATGTTTATCTGCCTTTTTGATTCTCCCAGGCTGGCGTCGTTTTCCTGTCCGTAATTCATAACCCATCCTGTTACTGCCACCGACATCACCTCTTACCCCATCCCCCCGTCCAAGCTAGAGATAACTACCACAACTGCTTACTGCTTTTCGTTTGCTCTACATTGTAATGATGCTCTCGTAAGGGCGGCCGTGAGCTCTAAACATTGGCCATTTTGAAGGACATATAAATGGGGTAAGGTGGGTGGTGATGCACAGGGGATGATTTGGCAGAATGCGAGGAAATTGAAGAATCGACAAGCAGGCTATTTTAACGCTATGCGATGACGGTCTGACGCAATCTGTATATCGCAAATGGCGCTCAGGAAAGGTACACGGAGTCCGCCGGCAATTCAGATTAGAACTGTTGTACGCTAACGGTAGTCACATTCGGAGGAGGTGGTCTTTGGCCTTGAAACTGTACCTGAAATGATAACATTTTAAGGCATATTATATGAAATTGATAAGAGATAGAACCATACATATAATGCTAATTAGTTACAACAGGATTAGTCCTAGCAGTGAAGAACTGCAGTACATACACCAACAAGTATACACCAGTGAATATATAAATTTCAGTTGAGCTAATTTTTTGTGTACGGTCACAGCTAAGCGTGATGAAAGCAGCATTATTAACCAAATAAAACGTACATACGTGTGCTTCCATATTCGCTAGAAATCTCCTTTATTGAAAGACGACAAAGAACTTAAACTTTTTTTTCCGGTCACTCCAAAGATAAACTAGCTATCGCTACACATTTCTATATGAAGCATTGTCTATAATTGCAGGTTGTAGATGGCATTTCGCAGAAATAATAAATGTACGAGTAACATAAATAGGACAGAAAAGCATTGCTACAAGAGCGGTCGAGAAGAGGCTGTTTGCTAACACTTCCCGAGAGCTACTGCTGGCGAAGCAGTGGTTCGTGACAACGATGGTTGATTCCGAAGTCCCTATCGACTGTTTGTCGCACTAGCCGCTTTCTGTCGCCTTCCATTGACCTGCCTACACTGACCTCTCGAGTCTTGTGTTCTCTGGGGCCATTAGGTGTCAATACGACTAGCGTAGGGGCTCGGTAAGGCGGCCGTACCGTACTAGCTTTGGCTGAAGGTACAGTACCGTGGGCGCGCGTAGGGTGACAATAGGGGGGCTGGCCGTAGGAGGTTGGTCGCTAGGTCAACCGCCGGACAACCGCTGAGAGCCAAAGGTAAGACGGTCGGCGTTCAGTCAACTGATGAGGTCATCAGCAGCCCAGAGGGGCTTAGCCACTTTCCAAGCTGGCGGAGCTGCTAACCCATTTACACTAGCTTCAGCTCTTTTCCTGTTACCCTCAGTCGACCAGTAGACCACCTACCGATGGGCGTACGAACCTCCTAGCAGTACCAGTAGGGAGAGCAAGAGAACGAAGATAGCGGGCAAACAGGCAGGCAAGCCTCGTCTCCTAGAAGTAGTCCCACCGGGACGACTGGGCAGATCACCTAGAAGGTGAAGGCCGTCGACCAGCAGGGCGGATGAACGAACGCGCGCAAGAGGCTGGAGAGAAAAATGGATAGATTGAGGAAAAACGTGTAGAAGAAGTAAGGCACCTCAGTCTACCCTAGCCGAATCCAGCCAAGCCGACTGTGCACGGTATGAGGCCTCGATCTGTCAAGGCTTCTTTGGCTAGAACAGGAGGTATAGCAAAAAGAAGAAGAAGAAGAAGAAGAAGAAGAAGACTAGGTAGCTAGTAGCAACAGAAAGCCAAGCCCCAGCTAAAGTCCCATCTCCTCACCCCAAACCTGTCTCTTTGCGCCCCTGACTATGCCTACTGCCCATCTGGGCTTTATATTTTACCCGACAGGTTTAGCCAACGGCTCTGGTCAACGACCAATAGTCGAGCGAGATGAAAGTGCCACCAGTAGTGGGTCTGCTGCTGCCGCGGCCACCGATGCTGCCATCGGCGCTACGTCGAGACCAACACACGTAACGCAACCCACTGTAGCGGTTCAACGCGCAGAGCAAATGGCCATAATAAAGGCGGCACCGCTGCCGCCGCCGCTGCTGTCGATGGTACCGTCGTTTCAACAGCACTAACTTATCTGGGGTCCTGCAGTTTGGATGTGCCGGGCTACGTTCTATAGTAACATCAATGCGAACCAGGCAGTTGTTCCCACTGCGGCTAGTACGGCCAGCGTTTATAGAACACAGCTATCGCTACCGACACTCAAAGGCTGCCCGCTCACTAAGACAACTTGTTCTGTCCGCTATAGTACAGCGGTAACTACCACCCCTTGTACCGCTACAGCGACTGTTTTTTCTTCTATTGCTGGTAGGCATCACTGTACAACAACTCGAATTCACGACGACAACAGCAACGGTGACGGTAGCAGTACCCCCTGGCAAACGTAAAGCAGCTTATATTATATACAGTAGCTTGTATTTGTTGGCGACTCGGAAGGCCGAGATTTGTACGCGTAGTTGAATGGCTTCGTAATGCCTTCCGCAGCTCACAACAAGTAAAGGAAGAAACCATGCAACAAATAGAATTGCTCTAATATAGACTGCCTGAACCAACAACAGCAAACGAAACTGTTGCCCAACGACACAGAATAGCAAGTAAAAGGAGAACGCGCAAGAGTAACGTGGGGCGAAAAACACAGCGACGTCATAATGGGACATTCGTGTAACGCGACCATTAGTGAGTAGACATATTCTTAAAAAAATAGATATTAATTCTTAAAGTGTAATCAGAATAAATTATTTTCCTTTGAACGCTAACTTCTGTGCCACCCTTTAAGGTTTTTCCTCGCGCGATTAATACCTATTGAAAAGTTCGTTTTCAGCGACAGATTTCTTTGTCTATCTACTCTCAGACTGGAGACAATCGTGGTTAACGCACAATAACGTGTAACTGAAGTTTTGTGAAAATATTTATTAGCGTAATTTGCCCTAGTTCATTTTACCTGGGCATATTCTGTGCGATCAGATCTTAGTCTCCCATTAGGGGGCTGTGGCAAATCTAGCGATGCATAGAGCAGCGGTGGTTGAATAGCTTGGCCACCGGCGCCACCCCCGATTGGATGCTGCGCTCCGCCGTTGTGGGCGCCACCGTGGGCACTGCCGTGGGCACCTCCGTGTGACGGTGGCTGCGTAGTCGGAAGAGCTGGTCGTTTACTTATCGTTACATCAGGTTTCGGTAGCTGAAAATAATTGGGGCGACCCAAAAACAAGCAATATCCTCTCCCAGTTAGAATTGAGAGAATAACACTGAACAGTGATGAAAATATGCAAGTAAATCACAGCGAAACTTGCTGAGCTAGCATCTAAAGGTGCGTAGATAGACATGTTGACACCATTGGATAGGCTTTTGCTTTGCAGCAGCGGTTGTCGGGACGAATTGGTCTGTTTGCCGCCGGCTACCATTATAGCCGACGAGTAATCAAAGGCAGACGCTTAAGGACGATGCAAAGATAAAAAGATAAAGAGCAGAAGCGAGGACAATTCATAATGTGTCTTGACCTATTTCGTGCCTTGCAAACGCAGAAAAAATCTTTTCGATTGGAAATTCGCCTCAACCTTAAACGATGAAATTATTGAGAAAAAAAGCAATCGAGGCTGCTTCCCCGGGAAGCTGATGGTGGCTAGACAATGCGAAAAAGTATCTATCTCAAAGTGCACCCGGTTCTAATCACATGTCCCGCCGTCAGTTCTTCCTCTACACTCAGCTCTTCCTGTCAAAAAACTTGTATACGAGATCCAATACGATGGGCGGTTGTCACGCGATTCAGGAAAGGAAATTCTTCCTCTTTAGTTTTCAGCCCAAAAAGAGACGTGCATCGTACGCCCCGGTTTAATAGAAAAAAATATGGGCCAAGGGGTTTGTTCATACCAGCCAGCCGATGTCGATACTCAGCTACCACCTGGTCTTCGGCCGTGTACCCACGCTATTTTGGTAGGACACTAAATAGTAGGAAAAGGCTGCTTTCGGTCTGGTGTTCGCTATAAAAACTGACCACTCAAGGGAAGGATGTGTTTTTCTTTGTTACAAGAAAGAAAATTTTCTAGCGGAGTTGTCGTCATAGTTCTCGCCACCTACTGCAGCTATAAAGTCGTACGTACCACTGGCACTTTAATAGAGTTTCCATCGTAGGCTCCTGCTACTCCTGACGTGGCCAGCGAAGGCGCTTGCTGAGCCTGACCGTTGGCCTGACCGTTGACCTGACCGCTCCTGCCGGCGTAGAGTGCATCCGGTGGAATGGCCGCCGACTGGTTGCCCTTAACATTTTTCGACTCCTTGGGCGTGAGCTTGTCCCGGGAGGTGTTGTGACCCCCGGAGGGCTGCTCACCCGACGATGCTGAACCGGAGTCGCTGTTGGGGTCATTCTTAAACATTCCTGTGGCGTCTGCAAACGGAAATTAAAGCACGTGATGTTAAATTCTCATTGCTGTTTCCATGCGAAATCTGCACGATGTACGCGCCTCAGACGAAGAACATAGACATAGACACTGATATTTGCATCGAGAACGCCTATTTTGACCGAATCTATTTCTAGTATTTCCATTTCTATAGATGGCCATCTGAGTTATTGAACCGTATCGTTTACGAACACATAGATGACCCACACATAAATTTAGAAGCGTCTACAAACGTCGTTTAAATAGCATATACGTTCCACTCGTTTTCAATCCCTGAGTATATGAGAAACTCACGGTTGATGTAGCATAAGGTATTCTAGATAACACAAAATGAGAACCACAACCGCATATAGAAAGCAAATATTTTATTGATCAATACTAACAATAAGGTAATTATTATTCTCATTACCGTAATAATGATAATACTTTTTTTTTACTATAATGTATTAGTTAATAATAGTAATGCTTATAACAATATCTATTCTTGTATCTACAAAATGACTTTCATTATCTCTCAATATATTACACATTGTCGCGCGCGATTTTTTATAATTTCACCGCTACCTGAATATCTGTGTGTGTGTATATATATATATAGACATATATATATATATATATATATATGGAGCAGAAACACTTTAGTATATCGTTCCATATTCTGTTGGGGTTGCATCATTGATTGGGTCATCTCATTAATGGAGCCAGGTGTCATGAGTCAAATGACCTACTATTAAGAACGTAATCATCTAACAAAAACATTTCGCAGATCTAGCAAGCGTAGACGTCTTCTTCCCTTTGACGTAACCGCTCCATCCGACGCAACAATATATGAACCCAATATAAGTATCAGAGGGCAAATTCGATATTAACAGTTTATATTTTTATACAAATAATAATATAATGTCATAATTTCTTATTATAATATATATATATATATATATATATATATATATATATATATATACATGCAAAAATCATCAACAAGAGTACTTGTTATGATAATACTGTGAGTGTTACAGAGGTTCATCATTAACGACATTGTATAGAGATACTGTATGTACGTATATACACAATACCCGTAGCTCAGTGTACAGTCTAACGTGTGTATTGTGTATAGCATTAGCAACTTATGGTCACACATATTCACAGAAAAACACGCACGCACAAAAGGAGGTGGTGAACTTTCTGTTCAAGTTTCGTAAATTTTTCTAAAATACATAAATAATTACTAAGCAGATTCTTGCATGAGATAGCCCAATTTATGTTCACAACGGCACAAGGGCCACTCACGAAATGCAAATTGTAGAAAAGCGCCATTGTTAGATGGGATATAAGATTTTTGGGTAATGTGGTTGTTGTTAATGTTGTCGTCATTGCTGAGACGGGAGCAGACCCTTTTCACTGCTTCCTTTTGCCTTTGTCATTGTCCGCCTTCTTTACCAACGTGCTCATTGTCGGCTTTTTTTTTGTCTTCTTGTATTTCTCCTCGTCGTCGTCGTCATCGTCGTCGTCGTCGTTGTCGTGTATGGTATTGGCATTATCGAAAGCAGCCCCCCTAACCGGTACCACCAACGCTCCGGCTCAAGCACCCCGCTTCACCCCGTTCCTTACCAAGCCCTCGGATCCCTTACTTTTCACGTATGTACATTTATTTGAGGCCCGGGAAGCACGACCACGTCGTTCCCGCTGTGCACGTACTCTCTTTCTCTCTATCTCGTCCTTTGCGTCTCTCATTCCCAGACGGACGTATCATACATACCAGCTACCGCGCCTCTGTTCGCGCGTTCTTCTGATGCCGCCCCCGCCGCCATCACTATCATCGTTTTCGGACGTTGTCTCGTATACTCGTAGATGCTACGATACGAGAATGGCAGAAATAGAGCAATCATAACAGCAACAACTGTGATAGTGATGCCCGCAAAGCCAGCAACAGCTGCAATAGCAGCATTAGGAACTATGGGAACTGTAACATCTTTCGCCCGTTCCCGACAAAACGAGTTGTGTTTCTGACACTGACATCCGCGACGGGCCCAGTTTCTGCGCATGATCGAAGCTCCACATTATATGACTTCGACCAATGGCCCCAACAGCAACAGCAGTAGTAGTGGCAACGCGAGACAACGAAACAAATAGCCGATGGCTTGTCGGCTCGATCAACACCAACTCCGCGTTGTCACCACTCGGAAGAACTACCACTTGTCTTTGTATCGCACCATAGGTCCTTCCGGCAACCCTACTCCGCCCTTTTTCTTATACTACACTATTGGTACTTTACACAGTGACGCAAAAGCGCGATAACAAAGGGGACGTCAGTCTGCTCAGTCAGCGACAACAGCTCGCCAACGCCACGACAGCCTTTGATCGTCACGAGCCGCCGTCCGCGGCGCTGATACCAGTAGTCACGTGTAGCTCGGCCACTTACGCCCTTTCTCACGTACACAAACAAACGAACCAAATATCGCACGTACAATAAGTACGTATAGTGCATCTTATATTACATTCATTCGTCTATAGATAGTCTCCGCTTACGGACATGCGAAGTAACGGACAGCCTCTAAACGATCCGGTTTTACTTCAATTTAATCATCAACTCGCCTTCCATTCCATCCCTCGATTCCACATACCCGCCAGCTATCTTATTCTATTTCTTAACTACACTCGTTAGGTTTTGATGTATTTAACGTTCTGCTCCGCTTGTTTTTGCACCTATAAGGTGTTTCCCTATTACTGCTTAATAGTGCAAGGAATATCTTGCCCATATGGGTAACCACATTCGTTAGACTGGTATAAGTGCAAGACCCCACTAGAACATCTCTAGTTAAATCGACTGGAGAGCCAAGCAGGGCAGGTTTCGCAAATGATGAGCTTTCATCGACATCAGTTAGAATGTTAGTTCATGGAATGATTTGACGATGACCTGGGTCAGGTTTATAGTCCATAGGGCCATTGCTGTCTAACATTCGGAGCCATTCAAGGCCCTCCCTATCTGGGCAGCAGCAGCAGCAGCAGCAGCAGCAGCAGCAGCAGCAGCAACAACAACAACAACAATGGAACCTTTAACACTTGCACACACTTTGGTTGGAATGGCACCAATACGACTGGTTGGCAAGGAATATTTTCTTGGAAAGAGAGAGAGGGAGGGAGAGAGAGAGAGGCAATATGGGCGAAGCGCATCTGGTTCAGGCCAACTGCACCCTGGTAGCAGGACCCCCGCGGCCGAGTGGATCTGTCTCGTCGAGGAAAACTCGGGGTCGCTTTAATGTCACGATTACCCATTCATCATCTTCGTAGAGCTGACCCGACCGCATCGAGTCCAGGGTCGGATATCACAAGCAGTTCGGCATAGGCATTTTGTAGTCCGTACCGGCAGGCAGCGCTGATTGGATCATTTTGCCTTTAGAATTTACACCTGAAAGGTCCAAGTGGGCGAAAGAGACCACCGGAAACAACACAAAATTGCATTGTTATTGACGCAGCTTATTAAACCGAGAACTAGTTCTTATTATCCATAAAAAATAATGCGGCATTGCGCGAAAGACAATATCGTTGCCTTTGCTAATTGTGAAATTTGCCGTCTACATTAGCGGAAATAAGTGCGACTGTTAAAGGCATAATGTGTGTATGAACGAGCGATGCAGTAAAATTCAATTAGTACATTGCAGTATGGATTTAGGATAGGGTCGAACTAATGAGCACAAATAGAAAACGAAATTATCACAGAGGAAATGGGACGACTCAAGAAGTTTAGCCGAGAAAAGTCGTTCACCGAAGAACTACCACGATGGGTAAGGCTATACACAGGAGAATATGATTTTAAAAAATCTATGAAAAACTAGCTTTTAATGGTTACCCTACGTTTACGCCCGTTCGAGGATTCATCTAAAAAACGGTCACTGACTGGGCTTGAAACACAGCGTACGTCAAGTTACACAAGCGTAATTATGTCTTTTAACATCATTCCGTAAAGGGTTCATGTCGGAAGATTGACTTAAAATATCGCTCAGTATTTAGGTGAAAATTTCTATACAAGTTCTATTGTCATCTTTCCCTATCACCTATGATATGCTACCGATCACATGTACTTCTTGGTCGCAATATTGTATGGTAATTAGCGAAACGTTGGTGATTTTAAGAGCAAAACTGGGAGGTAGGCTCAGCATCTAGGCACACGTACACATCAGGCACAATACAGTTAGGGTTGGGATATAAAAATAAAACGTTGAGCAGAAGTGATAAAGACAAATAATGATGTGACTGGTTTTGACAGCAGTAGCCGCAAAGTGACCAGGGGTAGGGTCATTGAAACGATAGCAGTTAGTTTAAACAATAGCAATGATAATAATAATAACCATAGTTGTTATTATTAATATTGTTATAAAACATTAAATATTAGCAATGCAGGGTAACAAGTTCGCTATAACCTGTGAGACGTAAACGATAAAGGACCGTTACATCTTGCCAGCATCTTTGTTGGGGTCAAACTTACCATGAGAGGATTAAACCAGGATGGGCTTGTATTGTGGGCCGAAGGTGGACAAACGAAAAAAAGCTACATTTGTTTCTGCTAAAAAAGAGAGACAGGCAACAGAAGTATCAAATCCGATCGAGACTGTAAAGTAAACAAGCATTGATAATGATTGCATGCATAAAGAAAATGGAATTACATCACAGAGTCGCGTGGCTGTCTCCGTCATCTCCGGGACAGTAATATTTAGCACAAAGAAAAAAAAAAACCATATTGCATGCTTCGCTAATTCGCTGCATGGACTGTTCCTAATTTTGACCTTTACTGAGGCCACGGGTAGAACCAATACGGCGGTCAAAATGTAGTTAAGTTTTGCCAATCTACCTAAATCGGATAACTTAATCTAAGCAAGTAGAGACGTTTGGGCGATGCACGACGGTCGATCCACGTAGCTTATTTAACCCTAGGGATAGACGGTAGTTTCGCAGATCGCAGTAACGTGTCGTCGACAATATTCGATACCGGGCTGAGATATGTACAGGCGCACTGACAGCGACCAAATCGTTGGGACGTCACCATTAAGGAAGGCCGACCGCTGTATCAGACTGTCATTGGATTAATTTAGAATTCGAAATTGTGCCCTATGAGATGACGATAAACAGACCCATTAAATGATTTCGATAATGTGACGCGGCCAATTAACAAATGCACTCGAAGTCGTTATTAATGATCGAGCACGTGTGCTGCAAGGTATTGAAAAAGATGTCGGATCAAATTGTACAAAAAGCTCTGATACGCCTACCAAGTCTCAGAGCATGCCGACTGGCCATCGTCGGCATTGGTGATATGATTAACGCACACAACAAACACAAATTCGCTTAAACCGAACATCTGAATCTAATAATAGATGACCAACAAGCGAACCCACTAGAAAAATTCTGGAACTTTTTTGCCACCGAGGAAACTTCACAGAAGCTCGTACCCCAGATGATAGGGCTACACTTCATTTATTATTGGCGTCTTAGTTTAGAAGTCTAACTAGCGTTCAGGGCTCATCAAAAGCACAGACAACTAAATGTGTCGACAATGAATTGTCACCACAAATATGACCAATCTTCATCATGCTAACAGCTGCAGCTATATGATTGTTTAATTCAGAGTTAGACATTGTGGAAAAACTAGCTGAATAAATATAAGTCAAATGGGAAAGTTTCCCTTTTTTGTGCCATACGGGGAGTTAGAGTCTACCCAGGATACGTACTATTTGTCCATAAGAAATATCTATATGATATGATATGTGTCATTTCTGCAGTAATATGATGGATTTAGTTCTTTCTTAGTCTAACGCCTCGTATTGAATAAGATCGGGCATGTATTGAATTCTACTATTACTATACTTTAACTAGCCTTAGAAAAAGAATGAAGACATAACTTTAGCGTTCAACAGTAACTCTCATATAACATATAGTTAACAAATGACATGATTATAAATCAGAGACACCTGGATCAGGTTTTGTTGACAGCTCAAGAAACTTATGACTAGCAAAGGTTGAAATAGACGCAAATGCGCGTAAAATCCATATTAGAGTGTAGTAAAATTCAACGCAGAGTCGGGTAGGATCAACGTAAACATGCAGCTCAATTTTAACGGGTACATATAATAGGCGATACTAAGCAAGATACGAGATACGTATATTTATTCAATCATTTTATAAATAAGCAATGACTTTCAACATACATACATAGGTTTGCATTCGTACAAGCAATGTTATGTCCACCCCTATTGTGACAGTTCCTAGTTAACGACTAGTCATAATGTGGGCCGCACTTGAGATTATAGACAGCTATTGTCGTCATTGTAAAATACTATATGGCTCTTGAAAGCTTCACGCGTTTTTAAGACGTACATTACATAACTCTTCAGTGTTAAACGGAGTTATCGATGATAGCTTAAAGATATGTCGTCGTCAATACTTGTGGTAAGCTGTAAACTATGTAGGACTGTTCGACAAAGCTAATAAAATATAATGTGGAAATTAAAATTGTAGTGCTGAGTGGACCCTGTTTGACAAGAAAGCCACATAAACCCAAATGCTCCGATATATTTATTCGATCCTTAGTAACAAAAAGGCTTATCGTATAGATGTCCTAAATGCACAGTTCCCTAAATGCTAACCCTTGTAATATGCCAAATCTGAACTTTTTCCTATTATGGCGAACGCTCAAAGTTAAGTAGGTAGTTCAATATCAAAGTTATACATCTTTTCGAATGCTACCTGTCTAGACGAAAATCAAAGTTGGTCACCACGGAAAAACGAAGAATTTTGTCTAGGACCTTATATCTGTCCCCTTCGTAATAAAGTAGCAGAGTCAAATTTATCTTATATTATTATACGGCTCCTCAAAAAGTAGATTCTTAGTTATTCTAGAGCTTGTAGAGCCAAATACAGAAGTAACTAGACGGCGTTTTTAATGTTTGGTCCACCCTCCTACATTCGCTTTCTCTTATACCATCAAAAATCAGATGCTATCTCAAAATCTAGCTTCCAGAGTAATGGAAAAACGTTCCGACGACCAGACGTTTGCAACGTTAATGCTATTTAAAATGTAAATATCGTAAAAAAAAAAATAATCGTTAGGGTCCTAATGTTTGCTTTGCAAGAACGATTTGGAAAGGCGCGCTTTACGACAGAAACCGAAGACGGCTTCATTGTGCAGTGGGACGACTAGGACGTGAATCATTTGCAATGGAATATAATCCATCTGTGTAGAAGTTAGGACAAGTAAAGAGTAAAAAAAAAAAACATATCTGAATTGATGAATCACAGCGAAATTAATAAAGCTTTAGTATTACTCTTGTGGTATTTGATAAATGGCAGCACCTAAACAATAAATAAAACGTAGATTCCTCTAATTTAAACATTTCGAGGAACTTTGCACCAGCTTGTTTCTGAGAAAGCTGTTCGCCTTAAAGTAGTTGGAATATTTTTTCTTTCGCACACAATGCCGGGGCAACTCGAGCTACTTTTGATGAACGACGCGCAAAGCGGTGCACGCAAGCGTTCACAAATAGGCTGCAAGTAGACTCCAAGCTTTACAGTCGATATCTAACTTCGAAACGTATCTTCTACAAAGTAACACAAATCAAAGATTCTACTACCGGGCTATGATAGATGCTTTACGCCGAAAACACGCGCAATCGACAGCTATCACAATACAGAGCACTAACATATAAATTATCAAGTATCCTACGTTAGCCAACCGCGACCTTCGTAAATAGATGAATAGCGCGGCTACTAAACTAAGGAAACCGTTGTTAACGATCGAAAACCGCTAATAGGACCTTAGCAGGGTCAATTAACGCAACGGTCAGAGTAAATATTCGTAGTGATATCGATTCATTCTAATGGTATTTATTATATTTCTTAATTGTGTGTCTCTCTGTGGTGTCGCGAAGCCTACCTAATGTTACGGGCATTCGTGACCTTTAGGTCATGCTTACTTCTTACGCACCGAACACAAATCCAGGCTAGCGGAGCAGCACGACGAATTATTTACAGAAAACAATCCTCACTCTGTTCCATTGAAACATACTAATGATTATTTACCAGAAAACCAACAAAAAGATGCAATGTCATATCATTGTATATTGGCGTAGCAAATTTTGCTGATGAAATCTGTAGGTATGAAACCGATCCAGGGAACAGGACTAAAGACGTGCTAGCGTCCTACTGTACTCTTGTCCTGCGATAATACACTTATTAGGCCACATTTACTTACTATACTTTCGGCTGAAGCACATCTTTTCCGAGCGAATGAGGTAGACCAATATGGTTAGGAAGAGGAGCAGGAAAGCCACTCCGCCCGCGGTGACAGCCATCACGAGGCTCATTGATACTGGCTCTGTAAAAAAAAAAGACACGGTCATGCTTAAATTGAAAGTGGTCATAGTTGCTTAAATATACATCGATAATAAAAGCTTTTTTTCTTTATTCACAAAAAGGTTACACTTATGCCGTGTGTCCACATGCAGACCTGCAACCCCAAATCGCTACTTATTGAGTTTTTGATGTAAATGCTACCGCCACAATGACTCTGATTATTTACCATGCCGCTGAATACGTCTTAGTACGCGTTGATGAAATATGGCACGTGCATTTGTCGACTCTGTTTGAATGATAACGTCCTAATGTGATCATTGAGACCGTTGAAGGCTTTTCTAGGCTGTTCTTGGGCCATAGACCACGGACAGCCTACTGGACCTGTTAATCCTATCACTACAAAAGTAGCACTAGAGAAGTGTCAATCCTGGTAAACTCTCAACAACTCTGCTAAAAACATTACGAAAACCAAATAGGTACACGTATGCATATCTGTCAAGGCGTGTCTATAATCTGCTTTTACATGCGGTACCTAATCTGTTTGCTATTACTTCATACGGATATTGCTAGGGTTATTATAATTTTATCATAGGATACCTATGAAACGGTACAGTAAGAATATGATAGAACGACTAAAATCTGCACCAGTGATAGCTGCATCTTTGTGGTCACCATGGTAACACACTCAAAAGGGTGTATATAAAACACCCAGACTGCGCCGTTTCTTATCTTGCACCTTACTATCCGTTATCGTTGCGACGGTTTCCCTTTTACAGTTGGATATTGAAAATCCTGTGTTACGAAGTTATGAGTTTCGACCACTTTAACAATGTTTCGGTTGTCACGCGACTGTTACGTTCGCTCCTTAGCAATTACCCCTTTGTTCAAGATATTGACTCTGGAAAGAAAGTGAGATAATCGACGACCCCGAAGGAGTGACTCGGGCAAATCGACATCGAGCGTCTACATACAGCTAAGAAAAACGAAAGCCCGTGAAAGCTTTGGACATGGGTGCAGAGCTCCGAACACGAGGTAAAGAACCTGAGTGGCCTTTCTGCTATCTCGTTCTTGCTCTCGGCCCTTTCCAAGGCTTGCAACCTGAGTTTTTCGTGCAAATTGATTTACTTCTTTGCTCGATGGCAGCGAAGACATAGGTGGAAGAAAGATGAATTTGTCGCGTTTAACCCCTTTCTCGACCCGACCCAAGGGTTATTTCTCGAACTCGACCTTGCTCCAGGACTTCTTTTCTGGACCCGCTTTCAGACGTCCCGATGCTCCAGCTCGAGCCGGACTTCCATTTGCTGCTTGTTCATCCTCGTGCCTGTTCACGTTTTCCTCGACTAGATTTTACCTTCCCAGTTCGGTTTTGCCGTGGCAGAAACTTAATCAGAAGGAGCTCCGTACGACATCCTTTTCCTTTCCGGCCTCTGCCGTTTTACTTGTTAACACCGGAATCGCATATATCGAATAGCACGGTTCACAAAATATCACAGGGCCAACACTTGAAATAGGAATAGTTACTTATAGTTTGTAAAACCGGCTACCGTAAAACCATCAAATCGAAACAGAACTAATTCATGGGCGGTTTTTTAAGCAGACTGTTGTCAGAAGTTGCAGTTGGATGTTCTACAAAAGGCCTTATTTCTATCCTTGCCCTAAATTCAAATGATGAGATTGAAAAAGGAGGCGTACTTTAGATCAGAAAAAAGAATGCTCATAGGCACCTTGCAGTAGGAGTGCTTTTCAAATTTTGCCTCTTTGCGGTACGTTTGTAGATTGAGGTCAGGCGTTATAGGAATGGTAATGCGGAGAGCAATACGGCGAAATCGTTTCAAGTATTGCGGCAGAGGTAACGGTGTGGAGATCATTCGCTACTGCACTGTCAAGCAGGCAACGGGAATTCTAAGAGTTGCTCGACTACTAGTGCTATCAATTGTAGAAATTTACACGATATGTTGGTTCTGGGACAAAGTTTCGAGTTCCGACCCGATGGTCGGCCAATCAACGATTGCCTTTTCCCCAATACGCTCAATAAAAACCGGTCAAAGTATGCCTCGACCTGATTATATGGACGTGCCATGCCAGACCGCAATGGGCCGGCCATATCTACACGTATCGTCATTATCATCGTCTGTGACTACCCCTTCTCTCTATCGCTGCCCGTGATGGAGGTTGTTTATACTCTACATATGTGTGTAAAATTTTAGTAGCAGTACTATTCTTATGATGAGTAAATGTAGCTTACAACTCCTTTACAGTATCGTAGCGAAGTTGTCGAAAAAAAAAAAACTAAACATTTTATAGTTATATGCGTACCGACTCTACGATTATTAGAACGCCTATTAGATCAGGAAGCATATATAACTGTGCAAGATATCTACTATCAACTCTGAGAATGAGAATCGCAGCCGATATGCATAGAAAGGGAAGTCCTTGTTCCAAATCTTCTGGCTTAAAGGGTATCCTTACTTTCAATATGATGTAGCTAAGCATAGCTATATATATATATATATATATGTACCGAGACACGATTGATACCCTTTTAGGATTTTAAGGACATCAAAGTATCTGCTGGTTCACACCCTATTTGCATAGCATAGGAATTACTCAAACCGGAGAACGATGTAAGACTCAACAGAAGGCAAACACGAGAGCTATACCACGATGTCGTTACATTCCATTAAGTTAGAATAACCATATCTATTGTGCATATGTCGCACATAAATAATGAGATCCGAGAATGACCATTATAATGTCAAGCAAAGCGCAGCTATTCGAATAGTTCCTACCCATCTAGTACTCAATCCTGATTTGCCTTGCAACTCTACGGAGCACAACAGAAGGGTTAGCATTTAATTTACGATGACAAATAGGAGATAGGTATTCCTTTTTTGAGAGAGACGCCCGCTTCCTTTCAGCATTGGCTATATGGCATAAACTGAGCTAGCGCCCTCGGGGCGAGTTGGAAACTGGCGCCCTTGGAAAGGGAAGGTAAGTTGAGCGTAATTTGGTTTTTTAAATAGCAGACGATTTGGTTAGAAGTACTACTCGTTTCCGCCAAGTCACTTCACTTGCTCGGTGACAATTAATTCGAAATTTTACTTATAAATTCAGAAAACTGAACTGAAGTTAACGCGTGGCTTGCGGAAACGCCACGAACGAGCACGGAAGCAACGCCAGACAGAGAAACGGCAGAGGGCGTGGTGGCCCACCTCGTTGAAGCCGCGCCCGCTCTCAGTATCCGCCTGCCACGAAAGATCGACGGCCGAGATCCAAGCAAAACGTCTAAACGCGGCATCGCTCGTACAGAACGACGAACTATGCATAGGACACGACATGGAAACGACGATGCAGGAATCGGCAATGTGGCACAAACGTCCTTAGTAATCCTGAAAATAGCTGCAGCCACTATCCTATGCGTTAAGAAAACTCTGCTAAGACTGTACGAAGTCTTTCGTGTGTGGCAGTTTGCCTTTGCAACTATTTCATTTCATCAGGCAAAATAAACCAGTTCTCTCAGCTATTTTGGCAAAGAAGTCCTAGCCAGGGCAGCAGTGAACAAATAGCTAACATATACACTACTTCACTGAGATAAATTGCGCTCGTCTACACTCCGCCGTACTAAGTAAGTGTATATAAATAGTATCTACGGGTCTTAACTAGTTAGTAAGTTTTCTCAATTACCAGCGTGTCTGTATGTCACGCATCGTGTTCCAACGGTGTCTCTAGCCATAGTTCCTGCCGATCAGGGCCGGGTTTGTCCTGACTCGAAAATTACACCTTGTTCCTGGTATAAGTGTAAGAAACAAAACTAGTCTGCTGGACCCAGTCGCAGCTGGCGGGCGAATCAAGGAATCGTAAGCGTTCTCATCTTTTGACATAAATCACTAGTAGCGGTGCACATATTGCTGATAAGTGGAAAGTACCCTAAGAAGCGACAAACTTTTTTGGGTTCGCTCATCTGGTGGTTCTCTTTTGTGCATTTTATAATGGGCTTCGTACGCGTGTGAGCAGACCCTCGTTTAATCATTACTGTGACAATGCGAGGCCCATTGTAGTCGATGAAACGACAGGCGAGAAAGCACTCCTCGGCGCTACGAAGCAGCACGCGACAGGAAGCCTTCATCAGGTGCGAGATGTGTGGTGCATTAAACTAATGACGTTAATGACGGGTGCCGGATAAGGCCGATGCTCTTTAAAGCTTCAGTTGCTTCACTGAGATCAGGGGAAATGACTTGCCGTAATGACGGCAACATCGTCAACCTAAGAGTTCCACTGAAGCAGCTTGTTCAGGAAACAAATTCTTTTTGTCATTGCTAGCTCCCTTCGACAAGCCGGCAGACCTGTACAAACGCCACGTCCAACGATGACGATTGGACTTTACGTACATGAAAACTGCCATTCTACCGCTACGCTTTCGAGAGATACCACGAACTTTTCTTAAAGGGTACTATAGGGAGGACGACGATTCGACAATAAAAACCGATACGCGATGCTATCAAGCAGTGAAGCGTCGATCTATGACAGATACCGTTTCGAATCATTCACAGTAGCAATCGAGCATTTCGTCAGAGAACTTGTGTAGTTAGCAAATACCGTTACCAACCAATGTTAAGCTGACACAAGTTCAATTTTATGAATTTTTGGATGCTAAAGACAGCAGAGCTAAATTGCGTATCAAGACCCATCTTTCTGTTCAGCTCCAGCAAACGTATGTATAATTAAATGGATGGATGAATTACATGTCCGACATTAGCTATCTACTATATACTTATATCTATGAGAATTAGCTTCAGTAACGCAACAAAATCGATCATGCCACAAAGTATATTGTTAATTAGCTTAATAATCGAATGAATTATTCAAAATGTGATCATTTTAATTTACTATACTACTCCAGCCGTGGTTTACTCAGCTCAAGTTGTCTGGGATATACAGCAGTAGAGATCATTAACTCGCTCGGTTAACGAATTCCAGAGAATACTTACGTGCAACGTAACAAGTTACCGTTTCGTTAGAAAAACTACATAGTAATAGCATATGAATCTGGTGGCTTGCCAAAAGCTTCGCTTACCTCTGACGTCCAGTTCGACGATGTGCTCGGTGGTGCCGCGGTCGTTTGTGACATTTAAACTGAAACGTCGCGAATCGCCCTTTTGTACACCACGTACGGTCAGACGAGCCTCATAACAATCCTCACGTTCCTCATCCTAACAAATACAAACATGCGCGTTCGTACGACCGCCAGGTTGTCCACGTACGAAGCAATATGAAGCATGGACAGACATATTTGTTAGCTAACCCCAGACAGAGTCGATTTTCATTACCAAATGCTCACTTTCTTGCCCTAGCGGTTGCGTCTGTTAGCGGTTCACAAATCCACTAATATGAAAGAAATTGATTCAGCCTGCGTATATGGTACAATCGTTTTACCGTCAACCCAACGTTGCCACCTAGACGGATTACGACTGTGACAAAAAACAGGTTTAGCACCTAATACTGTTTCATTTACCCTGTTAATACAAAAGCTTGAGCTAGTCTAAATTATCTGACATTGACCTAACATCAAAATGTTCAGGTTGTTTTGACAAGAAAAGCCGTCGGCACAAAAGGAATCATGAATCCCGGACTTCAACACCTCTGCCAGGCAAACACGCCCAAAACAGAGTTTTAGCCATTTAACAATAACACTTGGTACGCTCCTTCCAATAGCTATTTACTGTGATATATTGAGTGCTCATATAATTCTCAAAAGGCAAAACAACCTATGGAGGATTAGCTAAGCTTTTTATCGTTTTTAAGTTAGGCCCATGTTGTTCTCTATACCCATTCCTATCTACCTAGTTGTACGCATTGATTGGAAGTGATAGAGGAAACATTGCGCAGAAATGTATCTCAGAGGAAACCGTACAGCAGTAATTTTTGAATCTAAAATCGTCAACGTTCCCTCAATCCTGCTAGTTCCATCGAGTCCCCGGCCTTCCTAGAAGAGCAGAGATAAAAATGACTCCACCTACCTAACAACAATAGAGAAGCGTCTTATGAAATACAGAATGAAACATTATGTGTGAAGTAAAGCAGTTTTCAAATATGCACTTCTTCCGTCCGTTATTCTTTCCGTCCAACAGTCTGTGGAGACTGTTAGACGGAAAGATGAAAATGCTGATTACGACCGGGAATCCAAAATGGATAATATAGGGCTTTTCAAAGATAATTTTGAGAATGTTGTTCCAACTTAAGAGGAAACTGAAAGATCCTATTTTAATGTATTGTTATATCTACTTGTTTGGTACAACTTATATACCAATAGGACGACGTCATTCGATATCATCATGGTTTCGACCCGATAATTACTCTCGGTCACTTTCAACTGGCTGGAGTCGTACTGGAAGAAGCTTTTTGTTTTCATCTGCGATCGCCCCTTTTCTTTCCTGCATCTTCGTTTATTTCTACTGCTGTCGTTGAGGCGACTGCTGCTGTGAGCACGGCAAATTGGACACGACGGCAAGGTCGGTAAAGCCGAACAGCGGTGCTAAGCCGTCATCGGAAGATTTAGCTTGATCACATTACCACACTAAGACGATTACGCGACCTTTATACACTGGAGTCGGGGGCTTGCCCATTGTAACCAATAGCAACAAAAGGAAACCACCTAGCATACAAAGGCTTTTCTTCTCTTGCCTCGGAGTTGCTCCTCTGCCCCTGCCATTCTTCTACGCACTATTTTTGGGTTTGTACCGTTGACCCCGAGTCTGTTTTCTCCGCCTAGATCAACTTATTCGATTGGCTCGTTCGCTTTTGGGGGGGGGGGGTTCGAACTGAAACGCACAGCATGGTCAGCTGGCACAGCTCGTTGTGTGCTATTCCTCTGGGTATTGACGATATGTGGCCAGGTTGACCTCAGTCGCTATTATTCATGATCTTATAGCTTATATGTAGACTGTTCCTGTGTATGAAAACCGACGTAGATGCTTTACACCGTGTTCCAGTGTTTCGTTTAAAGCTGCTCATCCCAGTTCAAAAACGTGCCAAAGGCCGGAAGAGGTAATGAAACAGAACTTCAGCAGAGCGCCATTACTTATTCTTGTCCTAATAACAGGACATGGAAACATATATCGACAAGATATCGGCTGTATAGACTGTATAGTACTGAACTTTGAACAATTGGTGGACAGGTCGAAAATGTATAAGGAGAACGCAAACGCGCCGGGAAAAGCGACACGGGATGCTTTACGACGATCCCGAGTGGAATAAGCAAAACCGATGCGTTATACGACTGTGCTGTTACTTTCACGTGCTGGGTTTTTACTACAGTAACATTTCTCTAATCACCGTTTTTGTGACGACTGTTGCTTCCAATATGGAAGTCGTTGATGTAAACGTAGTCGTCTTCGTCGTTGTTTTAGAGAGATAACTGACACCGCGTTATCCTAGCTGCCAAATGGATGCCCCAAGGGAGGTGGCATATTAGCCCGCATTCCTTCTTTTCTTCGACTGCTGATAGTGCATTTGCTGCCTTTGGCAGACCGATCGATTGCACCGCCAACGAGAATGACTGCCCTCAGCAGCAGTAGTTCTGCTGATGGTAGTGATGGAGTGCGACGCCGGGGCAAAACCGAAGGATGCACTATCTGCTTGAGCACGCCACAGCCACTGCTCACGTGCCGAAGCCACTTGTAGACGTAAGGCACGTCAGACCCGTGGAAGCCATAGCCGCGACACGGTTGTCGTCGTAACCACAGCAACAGAAACTAGAGATGGACCGTTATACTAGAGCCAGTACGAAGGGAACGAGTATGATTTACCATACAGCTGTATTCTTATATTCCGCATAAACTTGTGCTATATAAATAGCGGGAAAAACCTACATCTCACTCAGTGCTGACATATCGTCAGAATGACGAAAGAAGACAGGCATACAGACGTAGAAAAGACGGAAAGTCTGCCATACTCGGCCTAGTTTGCCGCTTTGTATATAGTAAATAACAGAAACCAGAACTACTACTGTCATAAGATTTAAAGGCTTGCCTCTCCGAGAGATAGCTAGATTGGCATTGTGTCAATATCTATATTTGATATCGATAACAACGTAACACTAAGACAAAGGTCTTTCCGAAAGTAGCCCATTAGCTTCGTATCATTTCGTCATTTTAGTGGGGGACAGACAAAAGTGTGTCGTAGTTGAGTACTTACAGCGATGAGGGGGTCTGCAACATATCTGAAGAGAGTTTTTCCGGCTAACAATGACTGACTACCCCAACTCCATGTGACGTCACGTGGCCTAGGATCTGCGCAAAAGAACACAGCTAACAAGGCATCGTCGTCGCTTCCCGCCACCACACGATCGCGCGTACGGGAATGTTCTGTCATTACCTGTGGGGGACCTGTTAAAGGAACGTTGTCTCAGAGTGAAATCTCGAATTTAGGCCGTCCTGTATAAAAATGTAATATTTCTAACGAGCTGCTGTTACAATAGATGATAGCGCTTGCTACTGGGATAGTTATTGGTGGAAAATAATCCAGGTTCACAAAAGAATTATGGTTTTCAACTAACGACTACGAAAATATAGTGAAACAAAGGTCGTTCATTCCTACCCTTAATGTCCACCCGTGCTTCCTGCGACTGTACGCGATAAAGCTTTCCTTTTATCTCGTTGGCCGCTTCACAGATATAAACTCCCTGATACGCGTAACTAGCATTGCTCACCACGAGGGTGGACTCGCGACCTCGCATATTCCATACCTTCGGGTCCCGTCCGAACCGCTGGAGCCAGCTGATCCTGAGGATGACGAAGCGCGGCTAAGTTACTGTTATTTACATTTCTGACGTAATGTTCGATTAGCATTGAAAGAACTGAAGAAACAACGCTGGATGAACTATTCAAGCCCAAGTTCCTGTATTTTTATCTTTATGAATTAGCACATGCATCAGCGTAAAACGGAACATAACTGTAAGACCAACTGTCTGAACACAAACGATTACGACCACGTACTTCGGTGTGGGATTGCCTTCCGCTACACAGGTGAGTCTAATCTGTTCCTTCATGTCGAAGGTGAGAGGTGAGGGCGGCTCGATCCTCACTATCCTCGGCTTGTCTGAAAATTCAACGGTTCGACAGTCAGTCAAGAAGCCACTGTGTGATTCTTGTTGAATTCTCAATGTTCCTGAGACTGAAGATGCCATTCGCCGCATCATAAAATGTTCCCTTTAAACACCCCCCCACCCACCGCTGTGTGCATACACGGGTCGAAAACCTTTCTGCATAAAACTTCATTCGAATTATTAATTATCAAATTAAGGCTCCTGGCGTTTGTCTTCTATGCAAGAGGCCAGAAGATCTAAATTGACAACGAGAAGAAGGCCAGTGATGAACCTGTCACACATTCACGAACTCAGTCGATAGGTCTTATACCACCATAGCCCCTGCACAGGAAAGGCACACTATAAGCGATAACAGCGAAATAAATGAGTTACTTAGATTAGTGACTGGCAGAGTAGTGGCGACGGTGGCGGTGCTGCTGCTGCCAGTTTAGCCCCCGGGGTAGACGATCGTAGTGGAAAGAGCCATGCGAGTGTGAAAATAATCTCGCTAGCTGGCTTATCGAGTAATTTTTACTCAATCCGCAGCTCAAGAGTACAATAAACGAAACCTCATCGAAACACAGGTTGGTCGGCTGGCTAGCCACTTACAGAGGCTGTAGCCCGAGCTCCGCTTTCTCTTCATTTATTAGCAACCATACGATTGTTCTCAGCGGACTAAGCATACATGACCGCTATCCATTGTGCTATAATCACGCACCCCAGAACCAGTCTCCTCCGGCAACGTCTGTTCGTTAATTTTTATTAGAAAAAGCTAGGAGCGAATATGGGAAAACGCCTTTGATGTTTTTCACCGGTTTTTTTTTATTCAATCATCATCAGTAGAAAGTAATTGACTGTACCGTATACGTTTCAGTCCCGCTAACATAACAGAAAAGCCCATTGAGACGAACGTCACGAGACGTAATAGCGCGCACTGGATCCACACGTGTACTCGTAGGATAGTGACACTAATCATACATCTGATTAAGGCCGTACTAGCAGCAAAAGCTTACGAGAATATCGGAGTCGGTAAAAGTTGTGGAAACTTCTGATGCCACAACTTACCATAGGATATGTACCTATCATCGAAATGAAGTGGAGCTTCATTATGTAATGCAGGTTGGTTGAAGCGGATTGTAATTGATCAACGACATGCCAAATGACGTAACGCGCTCTGACGCACGTATAATCTATTTGGCTTATCAAATTTTCCTGATTCAATGTACATTTGAGGTAACACTGAAAATCAGATTTTGCGACTTGTAGGTTATCTTCTAACGTTGCATCTGGTGGCCGGCTGTTTGCGGCGCGGGACGGTCAGGCCGTTGTGTTTATCGACATAGTTATATGTAACACGTAGCAGGATTTGACCTAGTCTCCCCCTAAGGCGCCTTTTAAAAAGGTCGTACATTTACGCAATACTCCATCTGAATGCAATTTCTCTGAAATAGAATTTGATTTCTAACTAAAGTTGGTTTCATTATTGTTTAGCTTACACTTTACGTCCACAACGACCTGCATCTCCGGAGAGTCCCCCATATCGTTTTTAGCCGAACAAGAGTAAACCCCAGAGTCGGAGCGTTGTACCGCCCGGAATGAAATCCGTTCCTTGATATCGAAGATGGACGCCTGAAATGTGTGATTTATTGTAAATGAAACTGTTCGTATTCTGGCAAGCTATACAGTATTAAGACAGAGTGCACGCCCAGCGGAACTAGATGCTTTCGTAGAACAACCGCATTTCCTCCTGAATCCTTTAAGTAATTATTTACATATTTTCGCAAGAATTACGCTAATTTGTGGTTGTTCAGAAGGTTTGAATGTGACTAGGGTCTAATGGATACGCGTACAGCGTAATGGGACAGTCAATTTCATTAGTAGGGAAACTTAATTAAATGTATGATGTGTAGCACAGGGGGCAAACGTAACCGCTAACTACATTAGGAACTCAGTTTAATTATTAAATTGCTATTAATTTGTTTCTGGACGGTTCTATCGAAACGGGGTTTTCTCATCACATATAGTGATCCGCTTGCCCCTAAATGTTTCATTTTCTTGTGGGGCAATTAGGACTGAAACATACAAACAGTTATTTCCGTTTCTGTTTCTCAATCGAATTGTCTTTACCCTATCGACCGTGAGGATTGCATCGTTTCTGATGATTTTAAATCGGACCTTCGATGAGGTGAGAAGAGCCGATTTTCGGCGAAGAGTCCCGATAATAACATAGGAAATGTTTTTTAAACATCATAACTCAAACATTTATATAGTTAACGTTTATACTATTAGAGCAGTACGCTATGATTTTGACACGTGGCCTTTCTCCATAGGTTTATATAAATTTGTATAGATGTGTTAATATTTCCGTACGATTGATTCGTTGCAGCAGGAAGATAGACGAGATTCTTCGAACACCAAGCAATTATCTAGTTCTAATGTAGATTTTTTACATTGAATATTAGTAGCATAGAGACGAAAGTGTTCCGTAAACATGTCTGGAATTAACCGTACCGTCGCAAAGTGTCATCAATAAAACGGTAGTCCGACCAACGAAGACACTCAACAAGAAACCAATTTATTTCTACTAAGGATGGTGCAATCAAGCCTCAGCGCCTATAGATGATCAGCCGTAAGATCTGATTAACTTCGCCCCTTAGGCACGCTCAGCAACGTGATGAAATTTAATGAACCACGGCTGCATATAAATTATATTTATGAAGCTGAAAAATTAGGTCCTATTTATTATAGCCTCTATATAGTTGGATTGAAATATATGTTGCGCGCTGATTCGAACCGCGCCATGCGTACCTGACCGGATTTTCTCCACACAATGTTTGCCGGTGGATTTGCATCTGCCACGCAACGTAATGTCAGATTGGCACCCTCCTCGATATCTTCGCGAGAGTTTCCTTCCAAACGTGCCGTCGGTCGGTCTGAAAGGGTTTATAGTAGACAATATTAGTGAACGATATATACTACAACGCAAATGTGATTGAATAAAGTAACATATCGTTAATAATGAGGCTAAGAGTGAAAAGTCGATCTAATCGTGTCGATATATATAACGCCGGAGACTTCGTTTTTTTAGGGTATAGGTTTCTCGCTTGTTAACATTTGGAGAAGTCGATGAGTAGGAACGATGTAGAAAAACGATGAAATAAATAAGCACATTGCATGCAATGAGTTTTTTCTCATCGTGACCCAAAATGTACCGTTTGCCTGTGCCTAACTGATTTCCGCAATTGGGCTTGTTCTTTTTCGCGAACGGCAAGAGCTTCATTGCGTACGTCGCCAAAAGAGAGAAGAAGGCAGTGTTGGCTGCCTGAAGGATCTAATCGGTTCATCATTTGTTCCGTGCACTCGTTAAGTCGTCCGACAATATCAAGGTAGTTCCGACAGTGACCTGCAAGATACGCGTCTTCTAAGATGATCTTACAGCGGAAAACCTCGAACAACCGGATCGCGTCAAAGACTCCTTTTTCAAATGAGCACTGTGACTAGACGCAGCGATCCGAAATTGCCCTATGGGTGCACTAGGCAACTTGCGGCTGCTGTCTCAGAACATATGTCGTTGCTGTGAGCTCCCAGCAAAGGAACCTTAGGAATTGGCAGCAAATATTCGTGAAGATCGCAGAGTCTTCGCGTCGGGTGCGATGAAAACTAGCAAGTGGAAGATAAATTGTGTACACAAGCATGTGGTCCAGCACAGACTTTGGGTTTCAACGAGTCCGACAGCACTTGTAGGTGCCGTAAATGAGAGAGAAACTACGATACCGCCTTTAGGGCATCTAGCAAAGCTTTTACACTTGTTTCTACAAATTATAACTTACGTGTTTTGAAACGTTTTAAGTAGTTCTATTAAGATATTACGTCGCTGGTTCATATATGTGGAATCTTTGACTGTGACCAGTAAAAATGAATGAATGAAATTTGATTGATGTTTAGTGCTGCTGCTATTGTGTCGCAGAATGCAGGCTTCATTTTGTACGTTCCGTGTTATGTTTTGAATAAAGCTTGTCCATCTGCATCTGTTCTCATTACTAAGGAAGACATTCTAATATTACACCGTAGAACAGCAATAGTTTATCGTATGATTTATAATAGCTGGACGTTTGAGGGTCGTTAAGTTCTCCAGCTTTCTAAATTGGTATTCATTATAAAGGAACATTTTGACTTGTAAGATCGGATGTAGAAAATCGTTCGTAGCCGCACAGACCAGTCTGGTCTAGACCGAATATATGACAAAACAAAAAAACAGCATACTAGAAGTTTTCTCTATTGGTGCTATAAATTTGTCATAGGCAAGACAAACATCTGTCGGTCAATCTGTAAGATGACATTTTTTTCTTTATAATAAATCTTCGCTGCAGCATTAGGCTATGTAAAACTTATAGAAAAATCTACTGCCTACACGGCCTTGTTTAGTTTCGTTCTGCAACATAAACATGACATTTCGTGTGTACGCCTCATAGTAGATGTGTATCTGTTGGTGAAGTTACCTTGGAGACACAACAAGTGGTCTGCTTTTTCTCAGTCAACTTGAAGTGTTCAGTCTAAATGGGGAGATATTTTCAGTTGTATAGATTTATCGTTTTCATTTTGTCACCGACCTGCTCCTTCCTGCTCTCAATGAGCCATTCAAGCTTCTGAAGTCATTTTTCTGTCGACCCCGTCAGTCTGTGTAACTATTGTGGTGATTCATTCCGTCTGTTCTGTCTCACTTACGCCCTCTTGTAATGCGGTCTCGCAGCCAAACGTTTCATTTGTCAATCTAATACTTTAATAGAACTTATCTATAGACCTACACACTTCCTATACAAGGACATGAGTGTTACAGAGCTACAGAACGGTGGTGACGAAGCAGAAAAACCTGATCTAGCAGAATGCGTCATCTGTGTTAACGAAACGACAGAGCAGACAAGTCGATAGTCTCGGCGACTGCGCGCTTTTGAAAACACATGGAATGGTTTGATAACGTTATGTACGCTACTATCCCAGCCTAGCCAGAGCCCTCCGATCTGTACTAGTGGGTCGGTCATAGCAAAGCGACGGTATTGGAGTACGGTCTGGTGCCAATTCGTTTTTTATATGACTCAACCGCTACCACTTCTGCCCCACTGCTACTGCGGCTGCCGTTGTCGAAAGGGGCTTTTACATCTACGATAGCCTCATCAGAGCCCAATCGTTAAAGGGAGTTGTTGGCTAGTTTACCACCACCACAGGATGCAGTCAGGCTATCATATATCCTTGCCAACAGAGCAGGATCTTGGCGTGTTCACCCCAGCCAGAATACCCACTGCCTACAGCCTGCCTCCGCTTTTTTCAAGCAAACCACTACTATCGGCGCCACCACTTTTGAACAATGCGTTCCTAGGGAGCATGTATTGAAGCAACATTTTTGTTCAGAGTCCACAACCGTATTATAGCGGTCCAAGCAAGCTGAAGAGATGAGGTGCGACGTCACAGACGGCGAGCTCGTAAAGCTCCTTGGTCCTTCATTTAGGAATGGGTTGAACCTGAAAGAATGACGAGCCCCTTAGTCGCTTCAGTTAGTCACTTCACGACTTCGAAGTGATGACGGTGAGGGTGCCGACACTACCAAAAACATTTTGTCTAAAGTATTGAATACTGGTAGCGGTCATTGTTTTTTTTTTACTATAGAAAATCTGTTGGACGTACATGAACGTGGTAGGCGGGTAAAGCGCCAGCCTTTAGTGGTCGCCGCCTCCTTAAAAGCATATACCTCTCCTTTTTCGCCCAGATACCCTCGCGGCTGGCCGCGTCCGTACGCACAACAACAACGTACGTGAAAACAGTTTCTGAGACAAGTTTTGCAGGCAAGTGAACCAGTAATACTACAGTTGCTACAAATGGCTTGGCTACTGCTGGCTCTGCTCGCAGCCAACTTCTAAGCAGTTTCGCAATTTTAGTCGTTTTCAGGCTTCTTTCGGAAGTCCGCTGCTGGCCGCCCCTTGGAATGTGCCGACGAAAAAGAACCCTTTATTCTCACCCTTGTCCCTTTCCCCTACTAGACAGCCCTGTCAACGCACATTTGCTCCTTCTGCTAGCTCCTTTTATGTATGAGGACGAGATGAGAGAAGAACTAAACAACGGGAACCGAGGCCATTCCCGTGCAGCCCTGTATAACGGAAGTCTCCTGTATCAATGGGGCCGGTTGAGAGTCAACGAAGGATACCGGCGTTAGTACCAGCGGACTATGGCTCTTCGCTTGACGCTGGTGCTCCTGCTGGTGCCATCGATTTCTACGCCTAAAATGAAGCGTGGCCTTATAGGATGACTTGGGGATTGAGCATCGGCCAGCGGCTAGATAGGGTATGAGGCGGTGGCGGTACGGCAAAACATACGGAGCGTAAGGATTTGGGACGTGGGGTAACGCCGAGGATATAGTGGTTGGAATACGGTGAAACGTCTGCTATTTCAACCGGATGGCTCATAAGCGACTTGCGTCGAAGTAGTGCGGGTACGAACGTATGCAATCCTGCGTGCAGCTGCTACTGCTGAAGGTACTTCGCCAATCGGATGGTTGTTAAGTAAAAAAATACAAGACGGCATCAGCACATGTATTTTTGAACACCGCCATCGTATTCAAGCCAACGCAGTCAAGGCTGACAGCGTCTTTTTTCATTGTCAGTCTTTCTCATAATCCCGTCTTACTCCTCATTTGTGTAGACGGAGATCGATGTATGGCATATACAGTTTTTTTCCATCGTCAAATCCACTTTGTATTTGCCGGGCTCTTTTGTGTGTCGACTATTGCCACTAGGCACTTTAGAACACGTAGCTATATACATTCATAGCCGGGACTACGTATATGTAGGTGTACAGCATATGCAGTTCTATACATACATCAGAAAATCTTACGAGAACAAGAACGAGAGAGACAAGGGGAGATGACGCTTAGTAGTCCTGGCAAAGCGGCGAGGGAGAACCCTTTAGGATTGGAGAAACCGGCATACTTTGTGGACGTCGCACCTTTATCTCTCCCAATACTCTCCAGTGGGATATGTAGCCGGAATTGAAATCGGCTTTTTGCTCGAAGCCGCTTTCCGTTGCTCTTTGCCTTCTGAATATCTATATCTTCCTAAAGGTAGTCCAAAGTAGGTCGGGCTGTTGTGATGGCGCAATGGCGATTCGAATAGAGAAAGAATAAAGCGCGACCGTTTCTAATTGAAGGAAAGCTAACTGCAAGGCCACCCTTGCACGGCAACACGACAAGACAGAAAGAAAAAAAGAAAAACAAATATACGCCCCAGTATCGTTGTCAACTAAACATATGGTCATAAGCTGTTAGAGTATCAGAGGGTTCAAGCATACTCATAAGTGACAAGATCACCGAAAGTGATCTAGCTGCGCCAGCTGGCAGCTGCGCGACGGCTTTTACTTAGATGGTCTACAATTCTTTATTGATCATATTGATAACAACACAGCTCTCACGATGACGAGTATGGCTATAAGCTCGATACATTTACAGGGGTTACGTGATAACTTTGTTCACCTGGTGTGGGCACGTATATATTTGGTATCAAATACAAATATATAATTAAATAATATATGGCCATTTCATGAAAAACAGTACTTGATGCCAGCTATTGGACGCTGGACCTTGAATCTTCGAAGTACAGCTCTGTTAATCTAAATTTGTGACGCAAATAGATACGTCGTAGTGCAGGTCACAACTTCCGAATGAATACGTGGGTCAATGGGTCTGATGCTAGCCAATGTTTATAGTTAGTAGTTATGAATAAAAAAAAAAAGTGTTCTTTTCACCGTGAAGTACTTCTTACGTTTTTTTTTTTCTCCACTTTAAACATCGTATCCTATCTATTTTTAAACATTTAGGGCTTTTGGACTAGTTTACGGCTTCTCCTCGCAAATCGTAAAGCAGACGCTCGCATAGCCACTCCTAAACGCTGCAGTAAGATTCATCAAGAGCTCAAAAGACTTCAAGCACCATTCAGCTGGGTTGCTGCAGCCACGCCTCTACATAATGTGAATGAATCGCCCATCGTCACTCGGTTTAAAGAACGCCAGTTGTGGGTTTTTAGAAGCTAAGCGTTACTGAATGCTTACCACCTCTTTCGATGCCAAAGACCATCATAACAGTGAAGCTGAATACCTCAGTGAAGCCTAAAACATAAAACTTTGTCACGAAGATAAAGTCAGCACGATGTATTCATGTACGTCAATTAAACATCAATTCAGTCGCTCAGGCCACGTAGGCTGACCGAGGCCTTTTAGCATCCGGTAATGTTAGCGTCTTTGTGGACGCGTATAACGCTTTGGCCATAACACATGTGAGGGAAGACTGCAAGGTGTTCGCATCGGTAGACACGACGATAGATTGTTTGGAGCTGGACATCTCAGCTTAGGAGGCCAATCGCACACTATGAGATTTTTGCTGATGTGACATTGGAAACAGACAATCTCCGAAATATGGCAACAGTTTGCTTACAAACGAAGAATTTGTGTGAAGTGTTAAGGAAGGGGGAGGGATAAATACAGCCTTCAAGGGGCTGCAAGTTTAATGTAGCTTTAAGGAGGCTTTGTTTCTCGTTTTATTGCTCCCCAAGGTCTGAAATATCGAAGGCGTTTGCCGTTTGTGCTCTTTATACATCCATTATAGCCCCTTACAGGTATCCTCTTGATGCATGACTCCCCACAGCCGACCTTGTACTGCATCCCGCGTCAGCGAAGACGCTGTCCGTGTTCGCCATCAGTGATCGTCCTTGCCGCTAAATAGCCAGATATAACTATTGCTTTCTTCTAGTTAGTTGATACTGAGCAGAAACCTCAGGCAAATTGCACGAGACGTCAGATGCACCGGTACGAAGCACTCCAGACCGTAAGTATCATAAGAACAATAACATATTTGCTGCTTAGCTCTAAATCATCATGGCGGGGTGCTTGGATAGTCTCTTCCGCGCACTGACCTTCACTACTTTCCAATGCTTTGGCGGGAACGGGCCCGGCCGATCTCGGTGCTGTGAGATAGGGAATTGGAAATCATGTACTCTGTACTTAGAGTGGTTTATGCAATTATCGTTTTTTATCAATAAAATTGTTAGACTCCGTGGAACTTATAACCATCATAATAGCTAACCATGAGTTAAAGCAGTCCCTAATTGGGCCGTTCTTTCTTACCGATTTCGGGAACATATAGAGGCTGAATGTTTTAGCACTTCTAACGCTACATATATACATTAATGGGATCTTTTCAATCTGCAAGTTCACACGTCTTTCTTTTATCCACATTTTTATTTTATCGAAAAAAAAAAAGGGCTTTCTTAGGCGTTGGTATCGATTCTTCTGTAAGTAACCCAATTACCCGGAGCGAAAATAGCCCGTCCTGCAGGTAAACCTTCCTTCTCCATTGCTAATACATTGTATGTGATGGTAATTGATGATAACAATAATAATAATAATGTCGTATCTGAAGGGCACGTACAAAACAGGCGTCATTGAACAATGTACAAGACATAGCTATACACATATATATGTGTATACAAACCAGGGCTGTACGCAGCCAACGCTAGAAATCCGTACAACTCTCATGAACCAATGTTGCTTCTCTTTGGAATAACTCTATCCCCTGTGCCCGGGTTTCCGATTTGAAATTAACCCGCTTTCTAGACTGTGTCGATCATACACCCTGAAAGGTCATTCATGCCACTCAATGGGCATCACTGAGCTAAGTCGACTGCAACGCGAGGGCCTATACGGGGCAGAAAGTACGAATATTATCTATGTCAGAAGCGTGCAGAATAATTTTAGTTGTAACGTAGCGACTTATTGACGGGATTGTTCTGATCTAATTTTTGGTTCAAGTATCAATGCCAGATTAGCTCGGCCAGGTATTCTTGCACAGAAATTATCACTGATCGAAAATTGGGAGTGATCAGTGATACAATCCGTCAATCAACATCGAGGAGAAAAGCACAACCCGGTCATACACAAGTTCAGACTGTGCTTGATGGTGATGGGAATCTTAAAAGAGCCAACTAATAAGCATACGTCTTCAAAACGGACCGTGAAGCTATTTCAAGTTCGAGTGTGAGAAATCGTTTGATGAGGAGGTTTATTTCTAAAGCAATGCCACAAATTCTAACTGCTTATCTATTCTTGAAATTAACGTTGCCTCTGGATCAAATTTACCGCGACAGCCGACGTCCATCTTCATTTGAATTTGTAATTGCTTTAGGGCAACTGGCGATAACGCTCTACTCACACATGACATCAAGAGAAACAACGATTTCTTTGTATGCCGTTGCCGTAAGCTGGTGAGAATTGTCGAGCCTGATAGAATCGAGTGACGGATGGCTTGAGCTGGCATCTGCATATGCCCCATGATATGCCCGACACGAGAGCGTTCGGCTATTGTCCGCCTGAAACCATGATGAACGATTGCTATATATTAGTAACGTTAAATAAGAATCATTTTTAGAGCCGGCAATCTTTAGAAAAAAAAATTCGTATAATTACTGTATTTAGTTAACAGCTCACATTCGAGATTATTACCTTTTTTGCAACGCATTTCCAGGACTATTAAATGCTGCTTCACAAATCGACGCATCATAAATCATTGTATGTACAAGAAGAAAATACGCAAAAACATACAAGTATATCGTTTAGCAGTCATAGGCACGAATGCAGGCTACTCTTATTGTTGGACACATTGTAGTCATTTGGGTGCGAATAGAACCATAGGACCAAGTAACGCAGGACGCGAACATGGTAATGAGAAAAATATACGAGAGACATTTGCGTTGAAGCAAGCGCATCTTTCTTTTTATTACGTCACGGGTTCGTTTATCGTGTCTACTCAAGTACGTTGGGTGAGTTCCACGGGTTCTTCTCAGCCAATAACAAAACCTTTAAACCCGACTCATCAGGGTGACGGATCGAAACAGAGGAGACCCGCGTAATCTTTAAGGGAATTTCCAAGGAAAACTCTCATCTGCTCGGGATGTTTCTCGTCCTTTGGAGAAACGTATGAACGTATCACATGGATCTATGTTTCAACCCGTTGGAACTTATGATTCACTCAATGTCACCAATGCTCAGCTTCTAACTCCTAACATAGGAGTGACTCTATATACATGTATGTCTCACAGACGAAGAGTAATCCAGTAAAAGAAATTTGGCAGTGCCTCGCTTATGCAACTTAAATAATGGTATAATATTATATAAGAGTTCCATCGCCAAAGCCGTTACACAACACTTGCGCCGTATGCTATTTCTACGTAAAGCACTTTATCTATTGCATTAAGTTAGATTATTTTTTTCTACAATGTTAATTTGTGGACATTTTATTTATCTTATATTATCTTAATATAGAGCTTTAATAAGTACTAACGTTGCACCCAGGGCAAGCGCCCAGAGACGAAGCTACAGGCGCAAAATTCATCCTGGCTAACATTTCAAATCGTTGTCGATGATAAACAATGGATCGTCATGCATCAGTTCGATATTATAATAACAAAAGCTTCGTATTAGGGAGGGTCTGGCCAGAAGGCCGCAATTCTGCCCAAGAAAGACCAACGACCACCATAGATGACAATTTATATACGAATTTTCCAACAACTACATGTAAATAAGATTTTTATATATTATAAATATACATACATATATATATATATATATATAC